TATATGTAGAGAGAGAGAGATATATATATGTATGTATGTTGAGTTGAGTTGTGCCTCTTTTAGTTTACTTCATATTTTTCCTTCTCCTGTACTATAGATTGAAATGTTCATTAAAATGCAGCTTTAATGCAGATATTTTGATATAAATCAGTCAATTAATCAATTCTCAGTTGTGAGGATTTGCATCTTGTCTTTGTCTTATGTAATAATACACAAAATACATTTGTATTTGGGAGTGTAAGTCAGACAAAATAAGATGAATGAAGACACGTACTTGGGCATTAGTAAATTGTGATGGCCATTTTTCTGTATTAAAGGTGAAACAATTACTTGATTAATTCAGAGAAAAATAAACAAACTGATATAAGAAATAACCCTCAGTTGCAGCCCTTCGTACTTTTTATTTTTTATTCTACCTGTATTTAATGAGATAAGTCAATTGCAAACGAACAACCTGGCCAAGAGGCATCAGCAGGAGGCAAGTTGATACAAGATATTAAAACACAGATACACCTGGAGCAAAACATTGGACAAAATAAAAACATCACAATATTTACAGTATATACAACAACAGTGCTTCAGAGAGGCAAATTCAAATACAGGTCCAGTGTTAAGAAACTATTGATTGTATTGAGATGATAAAGGAAGGTAACAAATGAAGGTGTGGAGTTTAGCAGCTTATTCAACCTAATTTCAGTCACCAGGAGCGGCAAAGTGGAATGAGAGATGACTGAAGGAGGTGCGGACATTAGGAATGTATGAATTTGCCAGAGAGTAAATTGTGGTTACTGTCTAATTTGTTGTTTATTGAGTTGTGGGCAGAGATGTGGAGTTTTTTGTTTTTTTTGCAAATGATAGTTTTATAAATAAACTTATACCATGGGATATGTCACTGTTGACAAATTTGACTTTTGACCTATCCGTGCAAAAACGGCCGTGCAGTACTCCTTTCTGTCGATGGCACACATTACGTCATATAACGCTGTAAGTGTTGCAGAGATACACCCACGGCCAGTTCTAAAGCCAGACTGCATGGTGGCTAGAATGCTATTAATGTCTTCCACATGTCACTGAATGTAATCCAGGGCCCTTCATGCATTTGAATCACTTATCAGGTGTTGTGTCAGACTGTCTATAAAGCCTGCAGCTGCTCACTTTCCAAACAGTTTCACCACCAGATAAAGGAAGCTTTGTGTGGTTTGTGTGTGTACAGTTTATTAATGTTGGGCAACAGCAGGATTTATGGCGAACATATTCCTCCGTGCTCAGTCTTCACTGGTAAACTCTGCAGAGTTGGTTTTGGTAATCCTTGTTGTGTTCACACCACCCAGTGAGGTAAAATTAGAATTATCAGACATGGCAGCAGACGATATGTAAACTATGTCAGCTGTGTGGGGGAATATGTGAGCCTTGTATTCAAGGAAACTACCGCCTGTCTACTTAGCATGAAGCCGGTATGACAGGGAATTTATCCACAGAAAACAGTGACTAATCATTTGCATTTTAGAGGGATTCATTAGTACCAGGGAGTATAATGTTCAAGAGCTTTTTGGAGTGGTGTTTAATTTAAAGTACCTCAACTTGTGTTGAAATTGTGTGCAATTATGCTTATTATATTTTTTAGGAATGGCAATTTTTAGTTGGATTTCCTTTTAGATCATTTTAATAAAGAAAAATGTAGCTGTTAGAATATGTATCATGGCCAGTAGAGGTGATACACAGCCTCTAAAAACACCCAAAACCCAGCCTTTTGACTAAATCAATAATTCAGTGGCTGTTGGTGGTCTTTTGATCAAGAGAAGATGGTTAAAATAAAAGGCTGACTTCATTCGCTGCACATAAAGCATCTTCTCTGACACATTTGCCTCCAGGTCAGATACAGCAGCCAGCAGCTTCTGGCAGGTCATGTGTCATGGCCACAATGAACAGAAATCATTCATGGCCCGGCCTTTCTCGGCATCTCTGAGCGCGCGCGTGTGTGTGTGGGTGTGGGTGTGTGTGTCTGTCTGTATTTTATCATTCACACTGCCTCCAGACAGCTTGCCCTTTGCAGTGCAATCTCAGTAATGAAACATGTAGGAGACTCTAAAGTGAATTAGGTGGAGAGACTGCAAGACCACCTATCCTCCCTTTTCCTCCTTCTCTGGTTTATTGCTCCTCTTACAGTGCAAAGACACTGATTGACTGTCTCTACTTTAGTAAATTTGAGATCCGTCTGCCAATCAGCCTTTAGCGGCCAAGATGTCCAGGACAATACTGTGTAGGCATGAAGGTCAGCTCCCTGCGTCAGCGCCACGCCCAGAAAGAAGAAGTGTACTCCAGTGCTGCACAGTCACTCTGACATCTGTGCACATAAGCAGGGAAACACAGTCCTATTTTTTAAAATTCTCTGATGCCTCTGCACCTGAAAATGCTGCTGTCACAGTCAGAGAAAACACTCCATGATGCAGAGATGAGTCAGAGTCTGCAGGCAGACACATGGAACTGATGGTCAGCCAGACGGAAACAATAAATGAGTAAGATATGGGATTTCAGCACTCCTAACACAGTGACGTCCACGAGACAAGATGAGCCTTGCTTTGCTCTTTAAAAAAGATAACAGCGTTTGGAAATAGTTTTCTTATCATTTGCTCACAGCTGCACTTTGTAGAGCACCTTGGTAGCCGAGTGGTTACATGCGTGCCCCATTACTGTCCTGGGTTCATTTCCAGCAAATGTTGAAGTGTCAAAAACTGCAGTTCCTTGAATGGCCACTTGAGGCTGACTCCAGAAGCGAGTCAATCCCCATAGACCCCCGTGTTAAAAATGCCCAACTTCACAGCAGAAATAAACATGTTTACAGCCTGGTACAAAACTGTTTTTGTCTCTACAGCTAATTTCAACATTAGTGTCAACTGTACGGGGGTTAATATTTATATGACTCACCTGTTTACATTTTATTAAGGCTTAAAGTTACACATAATTGTCTGTGAGGCATCACTACAGTCATGATACAGAAGCTGAGGAATCAGTGTACTGATTATTGAATTTTAAGTGGTAGATGCTATTAGCACCAAGGTGTATGTAGCCAACAATGCTATTTACACACGGGTGTGTATTCCTGGACGTCCTCGCAGCATCGAAATATGACGTTTATACGAGCCGGTCTATTTAGCTATTCTGCTAAAGTTTATGTACACAGTGTGCAATCAGCAGCTTTATACATCCTAACAACTGAAAATAATAGGTCAGCTAAGTCTAAAAATAATAAGCCAATGTTGACTAACATGGAGCCCAAAGCCCAGTCTTGTGTGTGAAAGTCCTGTGCTTGACCCATTCAATGAGTCAGATCCAGCCCTCACTCCTCCACAGCTCCACCCTCTTGTCCAAGTATGGTCCCTTGCGGCTTTTCCCTAAACTTAACCATATAGTTTAGTTGTAACTGCAACTGTTTCACAACATTAAGCGCATGGAACGTTAATGGTCATTTACGAGCTATTTGTCCACCAGAAGGTGAGCTAATTTAGAAAAAGGATCCTGTGAGTTGTATTCAGAGGGCAGGAACAATTTATGCGGCGGCATGGATTGGAAGATGTGTTGATTTAAATTCAGGTCATAAAACTGAGGGTGTCATGTTGCTCTCGTGGATCAGGACGCAGCCCATGTAGCCTCAGAGCCTCAGAATTTCTCAAAGTGCTTTTCTTATTATGATTATCTAACTGCATATGAAACTCCCTCTCCCTGCAACGGTTTGATGTTGGAAATATGGGGGCTGTATTTAACCATTTTTCTTATCCTTTTCGAAACAGACTTCTTGTACATGTTGGTCCAAATGCAAAACTGCGGAACTGTTCAGTTCAAGCGAGGAAGTAATGGACCTTGAATGCAAATTGTTCTGTCGACTGCTGTTTCCAAGCTCAAGGATAAGCTGTTAAGCTTCAGATAACATGTTTACATGTCAGTGAACACAGAAAAAATTCTCTTTTTGAGAGTGTGATTGTAAATTATTTACATTGTTTAGTCAGTGACCACAGCTGCCCTGTGGATGGGGCCATTGCCCTAACTGAATGTGGTGTCTTGGAGTATAATCTTGTATTGAGAGCACTTCCTGTGAGTTTGTACAGTATGAGCATGCTGGTGT